ATAGCGAGTCCCGCCAGACTGCAAGTGTTTTGCAGGAGGGATTCAAGCATACACCGGAATTTAAGTTTGTGCAATTAAAGTGGATTAAAGTGCTTTGTCAGCCTGGTACTACAAATCCACTCCTTATTTAAGGAAGGACTTTTGCAGATTGAAAAGCGTGGAATGAGCAAATGATTAATGGGAAGACATGCACACCCTGCGAGCAAATCAGGACGAATGCTGGTTGTCATATAACCCCCCAGTAAACCAATCAGAACAAAGGTTCAAGGAAGACTGGACTACTTGTGCAAGCAAATGTGGATGAATGCATAATAAACAGATCATCTGGAGGGACCCATTGACTAGATCGCACAAGGCACCCGATTGACGCTCTGGCCAAAGTGTCACATTGCTTCAGGCAAATACTTCTGTAGTAAGTCCACCTGCACAGACACAACCCTGCTGAGACCTCTCGTGTTCTTTTGCTATTCTGCCTTCTGAGCTTCAATATGGTAGCATAGATATATTTATTTAGTTGCCCAATCTTTAGTGGTTAGTTAGCACATCAACTGTTAAGGCTGGTAGTCCCATTCTCCAAGCCCAATATTCGAATGATCCCCCAACATTCTACTAATGGATATAAAGGCAATGTTGTCCGCAATCATTTTTCTCGTGCAAATACTATAGATTAGGAAGTATGTTTTATATTCATTTACCGTATTTTTCGCCCCATAGGACGCACTTTTTCCCCTCCAAAAATGAAGGGGAAATGTGTGTGCGTCCTATGGGGTGAATGCAGGCTTTCGCTGAAGCCTGGAGAGCGAGAGGGGTCGGTGTGCACCTCTAGCTCTCCAGGCTTCGCGCAGATCTCCGCAAGCCGTGGAGCCCGCGCGGGGCTCCCTCGGCTTGCGGAGAGTTGCCTGCATGCTGAAGGCTGGGTGCGCTGAGCTCAGCGCGCCCAGACTTCGCGCAGCTCTCTGCAAGGCACGGGAGCCTGGCGCCTGGCCCCCACGGCTTGCGGAAAGTTGCCTGTTCTGGGGGCTGGGGTCGGGGGAAGCTCGGGGTTCCCCAGCCCTGCGCCTGGGGGGGGAATAATTTTTTTCCCTTTATTTCCCCCCCCAAAAACTAGGTGCGCCTTATGGGATGATGCGTCCTATAGGGCGAAAATTACGGTATATCAGGGAGGACAAGGATTAGTAAAAGGTAAAGGGACCCCTGACCATTAGGTCCAGTTGTGGCCGACTCTGAGGTTGCGGCGCTCATCTCGCTTTATTGGCCAGCATGACTAAGCCGCTTCTGGAGAACCAGAGCAGCACACGGAAACACCGTTTACCTTCCTGCTGGAGCAGTACCTATTTATCTACTTGCACTTTGACGTGCTTTCGAACTGCTAGGTTGGCAGGAGAAGGGACAGAGCAACGGGAGCTCACCCCGTCGCGGGGATTCGAACCGCCGACCTTCTGATCGGCAAGACCTAGGCTCTGTGGTTTAACCCACAGCTCCACCCGCGTCCCTCCAAGGGTTGGTAAATATCCCCAAATATCTATTCCTTCTCCAATTGCTTTTACAACTTTCAGTCACAGTAATTTCACATGGCTCCTAATACTGCGTGTTGCCTCTTTTGTGCGATCTGCCAAGGAACATAAGTGGGTGCTGTAATCAGGGTCGGACTTTTGTCTTTCAAACTTCAGCGGCACCCTGTATGAGCCCAAAATTCGATGCCCCATCACCCCTTCCCTTCCATTCTGCCCAATTCACAATGTCATAGTTGCGCCGCCCTGCAGCGCCCCCTAGGCTCGGTGCCCAGTGCAGCATGCTGCCCTAAATCCGCCTCTTCTGTAATGGTGTGTGGGCTCTCCTTTGTGTGTTATCCTCCAAAACAGGGATTGTGAGGGGCACAAAGAACTCTCCCTATACTTGCAAATTTCAGTTCTTGCATTATTTCAGAAAGTGCAAATTATGTAGATTCGCCTTTAAATGTCTATTGAATTAAATTTCTCTGCCATCACTAGTTCTCAACAATTGCAACATGTGGATTACTAGTTACAACATGCAGATGATGGGGCTCAGTCTGCAGAACTCTTGACGGGAGTTCGCGCTTCGGCAGAGGCGGCTTTGCATCCCTTCCTCTATTTGCGTGCAGTGGCCATGGGAGACGTTGAGAAGGGCAAGAATATCTTTGTTCAGAAGTGTTCACAGTGCCACACAGTTGAGAAGGGAGGCAAGCACAAGACTGGCCCTAACCTTCATGGTCTTTTTGGCCAAAGACTGGTCAGGCTGAAGGTTTCTCTTACGCAGAAGCCAACGAAAGTAAAGGTATAACCTGGGGAGAAGATACAGTGAGGGTTTACTTGGAAAACCCCAAGAAGTATATTCCAGGAACCAAGATGATATTTGCTGGCATTAAGAAGAAGGGGGAGAGGGCAGATTTAATAGCATACCTTAAGGAGGCCACTTCTAACTAATGACTTCTGCTGCCTTATTTATTTCACCATACAAATGGAAATGACTCTCTGATGAGATTGGTTTTTAAACTTTCTATTTTTACATGCATTATATTGTAACGACTTCAAAAAGCCTTCTCGTCAGCCTGAGAACCTTGACCATGGATGGTTCTTAACATATGTACTTGTTCTTGTATTATAATTTATAGAATTGCACAGGCTTGAATGAGTCCAGTCAGGGTGACTGTAGCATTTCCCGATCATATAATTAAAAAACAAACAACCCCTAAAAAACAAAAAAAATGTAGATAATGATGGCCAGAAGAATAACACATAGAGAATTTCTTAAATTTGCCTAGGAACTGCTTGGATTTAACAAGGGAGAGTGACACTACTCTCCAGCATTTTATCCACCCTCCTTCTATTTTGCATACGTTTCCCCCCTCCCTGACATATCTCTCTTGGTTGCTTTGAGGACTAATTTACACTTTGTGAATAGACCATTAAAGTGAATCCGAAAGGAGACAGGATGTATGAAAAAACCATTAAAGACAGTGAAGATCTATGGAGCTCCTACAAATGACTATCATTCAGTGTCATCTGATTTATACAGAGAAATAGGAGAAATTGTTCCCTCGATAATATTATGCTACTGCTTTCTAAGGGAATTTCTAAATGAAGAAAGTAACTTGGGGCATATCAACTGTTAATGCGAGACTAGTAAAGTACACTCACCGAGCTATGAATTAGTTATTAAAATAAATAACTCAGGGCCCAGCATCTCTCATAGTCCTAGAAACCTTATTTACAATTTGGTGAGCAATAGTGAATCTTCTATGCCTAGGGAAAATTATGTTAGGAAAACATTAAGGTTGATAGTAATTTATGGTATTTACATATTGTTGATTAGGCGAAGCGTTCATATGGTTCCACAGAAATGTAGATATGGAAAACTTATCGCAACCAAGCATTCTTGGTTTCAGAACATTTTTGTTTGCCCAGGCATTCTAAACAGCGGGAAATTAATTTTGTTGATTTTTATTAGTGTTTTCTTGTTGTACTGTTGCTATGATTATTGATTGGGGGTTGGGCTGAGATACACTTTTAACCATTAGGTCAGAACTCAGGATTTCCCATGACTTCTGTACTGGAGCATCTTTATTAATATACCAATTTGTGTTGTGTCTCTTTTCAATTAGATTATGTAAGATAAAATGTACTGGAAGGTCATCTCACTGCCTATATGAGTCTCATTCTTTCTAGAGCAAGGATCGCCAACCTGACTAGTGGCCCTCATTTTTTTGTTGTTTATAAAGCCCACAAAGGAGCTTTTCTGAATGGGGTGTGTGTGTTATCAAATATGCTCTCTATGAGCGTGTGATTGAGAGTGATGTACTTTGAGGAAATGGACATGTCCTCTGTGTACCCAAGTGGTCTGTGTGAGAAAGGGAGAGATAGACTTGGGCAAAGAGCATGGGAGATATTTATGTATGACCTGTGTCTGTGAGAGAAAAGACAAGGTGTTTACCTAGAGAAGTATGTGGTGTGTATGTGAGAAAGGCAGTGAGGGAGGCTGTGTTCTGTGTGAGTGAGGGGGAGATGTATGTGGAGCTGTGTATTCGTGAAGTATACAAGTGTGTGAGAGAGAAAGAAATATGAATGTGTGCCTGTGAGTCCTGGAAGACTCCCCCCCTCCACCTTGCAGGCCTTTTCCCACTTGGCCTGAGAGGGCAGGGCTGAAGTGTAGGTGGGTTCCCATGAGGGAAAACACAGTGATAACAGCAAGAACCTTTATTAAACTAACAGAACTGGACAACAGGGGCAAAGCAACTGCTTACATACATTTCTGGAGGCCTGGGCCACTCCCACTCCCAACGTGATTGGCTGTCTAAACTTCCAAGCTGCGAATCATACCCCAGAGTTTAAAATCCAATGGTAGAGGCCAAAATCCTGAAATGTTCTGTGATTGGATATCATGTATCGAATCAGAACACAGGTGCTCAGAATCCTTAGTCCAGACTCAAGCTCAGGCAAACACAGACCACTGAGTACATAACAAGGGCCCTGACTGACTCCAGCTACAAAAGCTGAGGCTGTTGAACAGACTCTTGGTCTGGGGTGTTGTTGGGGGGGGGATGTTGCTGTTGGATTTTTGTGTCTTTGTTTTAGATCTTGTGATTTACATGGAAATTGTTCGTCTTGGTTCTGTATTTTTAATGTTTTGCTGATTATTTGTGACTGCTTTCATTATGTTGGAGTTAGGTATGTTTTTCATGTTGTAAGCTGCCTTGAGCATGGTTTGAACCGTGGAAAGGCGGCATACAAATTATGTATGTATGCATGTGTGTGGCGAGTATGTATGACAGTGAGTATGGAGTGGCAACATTATACCCATTTTGTGACTGGCACCTACAGCACTTTCTCAAAAGCCTATATTTGCCTAATGTTTCAGAATGGTTGGTGGCCTCTGTTCTAGAGCATGAATAGCAGGAATGGACAAATTAATTAGCTGTGGTCCAGATATGATACCACATTGGGAATGGTTTGAAACGGTCCCACATTAGCAGTCCAAATACTGGGAGTATGAGACTGAAACTGGCATGTTGACAGGAGTGGTTGTCAACTTGCCAGACTGTTACCATTGCTGCAACGAGGCCCAAGATGACATGATCATGCCAGGTTATGTTGAGTCAGGATGATGCCATAAGCTTCAGCCAGTTCCCAACCTGCATTTGTCCCAATGGTTTCCTTTATTAATGATTGATTATAGCCCACCTTCGCTAAATGGTCCCAGGCAGGGCTTTTTTCAGCCAGAACTCAGTTATGGCACCTCTCAGATGGGCACCATTGCCATTATAAGAGAGCAAGGGAGGAATTAATGGTGGGTCCTGGCTAGAAAAATAGCACTGGTCCAATGACATGTTACAAAAGCCCAGGATAGTTTGCAATTTAGATCTCTTTCAATATAATTTCAAGCATCCTAAACATAAAGTACCCATGCATGGCTAAATATATGCAAGACTGTGCCTTTAAAAAGTTCCCTAGTTTTATTCCACTGCCACAGCTGAATGCCTGAAAAGAAGAACTGCTTTTTCTGAAAATAAAAGTCAGATATAGTTTTAAACACCCTAAAGTAATATTAGAAATTCTCTTAGAAACAATAGTGATTTATCAGAGAGATAGTTTTGTTTCAGTTTTGGTTAGCTGTTACCTTTAGCATCTGCTACGCTTGTCATTTCGAATATAGCAGTATTATGATTTTTGTAAAGAAAGCAAGGCGCAGATAGAGGAAGACGTGATTGCAGAATTAAGGTCCCAGTTTTAACATTTTGCCTCCTTCATCCCCACCTGACCATGTTTGACAAAAGGAAAAGATTCATTGGGGTTAATAATAATAACGCAGATCTCTGCACCGAAGGAGAAACTGATTGATGTTTACTCAGGCTCACATTTTCTTATTTGAAGCCGGGGCTTATCTTAGAGCCTTTGCTAAAAGAGGCTTACTGTTTAATTATAACTCTGAATGTTGAGTCCTTAACACTAATAATCAGATTCTTGTGAGAAATGCTAGGATATTGTGCTTGAGATTCCCCCCACCCCTTCTATTCATTGTTTAGTTTAGCAGGGCCTGTCTTCTTTGAAGGCCTCTAATTTTCTTCCAGATTGTAGATCTATTTTTTATTTTTATTCTAAGTTCAGCATATCACTGATCACTCTGTGCTTTGTCTCTTATACTTAGAACCAGAAAAAGCAGGTCCAGGCAAAGTTTCCATTGTTTAGCCAAAGCCTATTTCATAAAGGGATGCGGGTGGCGCTGTGGGTTAAACCACAGAGCCTAGGACTTGCTGATCAGAAGGTCGGCGGTTCGAATCCCCGCGACGGGGTGAGCTCCTGTTGCTCGGTCCCTGCTCCTGCCAACCTAGCAGTTTGAAGGCATGTCAAAGTGCAAGTAGATAAATAGGTACCGCTCCGGCGGGAAGGTAAACAGCGTTTCCATGTGCTGCTCTGGTTCGCCAGAAGCAGCTTAGTCATGCTGGCCACATGACCTGGAAGCTGTACGCCGGCTCCCTCGGCCAATAAAGCAAGATGAGCGCCGCAACCCCAGAGTCGGCCACGACTGGACCTAATTGTCATGGGCCCCTTTACTATTTTATAAAACCCAATGGATTTTCCATCTTGTTTCCATATTTATCTGGATCACAGGAAGCTGTCTTCTATTGAGACAGTCCATTGAACCTTCTAGTTCAGTATAAGGTGTGTAAAAGGAGATGGCATACCCTCTAACATTTCTCTGATGAAAATAGGGATGTCCTATTTCATCATCATCATCATGCCCCACCCTTCTGACTGGGTTGTCCCAGCCACTCCAGGTGGCTTCCAACATATATAAAAACATGACAAAATTTTAAACATTATGAAACTTCCCTGTACAGGGCTGCCTTCAGGTGTCTTCTAAAAGTTGTATAGTTACTTATCTCCTTGGCTCAGGAGTCACATAACTCCATATCCTCCAACATTTCTCTGATGAAAATAGGGAAAGCAGGACATTCTGGGATCAAATCAGAGAATGGGATGGCTTCTGTAAATCTGGAACTGTCCCTTGGAAATAGGAAGGTTTGCAATGGATTGCATGCATTTCTGCTCCTATGATTCATTCAGTGGGTGGAACATTGTGTTTCCACTTCCTCCATTTCTGTGTATGCAGAGCTCAGAGCCAATTCTGTTTGTTGCCTGCTTAATAAAGTCAGCTGTTCAGCTACTTTACAGGAGTCCATGGCACATGGTTAACAGGGAGGTGTGCAATTACATAAATAGGTGCAGAAAGAGGCACATAAACATCTCACAGTCTACACTGACTCCAGAGTTTCACGCACTACATCTCTCAAGCCACTTCTGGAGATGCTAGTGATGGAGCCTGGGTCTTTTTGCCTTCAAAGCATGTTGTCTACTACTGAGCACAAACGACCCATTTCTTGTTTGCATTTTTTTAAACATAATTTTTGCCATTTTAAAAAGTGAAATCTGCATGAAAATTCACATTAAGCTGTTATTTATTATGTGCTTTCAAATGTATTTTTTCACAAAATATGCATTTCTGAACAGATTCTGTCTTAAATGGTACATTTAAAAATCAATTTCATCCCAAACTATGCATTCTTAAATACAGTTTTGTACATTGGTTTATGCTAGCAGCTGCATTGCAAATCTGGAGAAGTTCAAAACTCAAAGTATGATTACATTCTGGTCTGCACATTATTCCAGGGCAGGGTATGGAAGGTTGCATGAATGCAACAGCTAATTTTTAGACTTCACGATGAATAATAATTAAAATTACAGACAGTTAATAAAGAACATGATTATGATCCCTAGTTTTAATTTATAGTTAAGTTTTATTGACATGTAAAATCTTGTTACATAGTTCTATTTTATAGTGTTTTTGTGTAATTACATTACTCTTTACAAGAAGAAGAAAGTACAGAGATTTTGCCCAAAAAAGGTGCCAAGCTTATGTGTTTGTAGGTAGGGTAGTATCTCTGTGCTGGATAAATGAGTTGAATGGTTCATTTGTACCACCAGTGAGATTCTTATAATGGATCCAACACACACTGGTCTGGGCTTTTACATTCTCTAAGCCTAGCATCACTCAGCTGCTGCTGTATCTTTTATGAGAGCGATCTCCATCAATACTGTGTTGGGAATTGGTTGTTTTTATCACCACATATATGGAAATATCCCAGATTAACAAAAATTAAATAGAAAGAAGCACTGAGTTTGCAGTTAGTTATGGTATTAATAATGAACATAATAAGTTGAGAAAAGAGAAGGGGGAAATTCTGAATAAAACAACAAGCATCATTTCTGATTTACACTGAAACCTCTGTTTGAACTGGAAACGTAAAGAAGCTTTAAAGTTGTAGCTGTTTTAAAAGGGCCTCAGTGTAAGGAAGAATTAGGCCACCTGGGTCCTGAGTTCTGCTTCCAAAAAGGCAGAAACAGAGGAGGAAACACTGGATGAGATTTTCTCTCCCTCTCTCTGTCTGTCTCTTTTAACATAGAGCTCCATTGAGGTTCAGTTTCCTCCTGGCTAATTTCCAGCAGTGTATTTGTTCTCTCAAAGGCAGATGAACCTTTAAACTAGAGAAATAACCCTGGCAAGGAAGAGACGGGGAGAGAGACCTGCCGACCAGCAGAAAGAGCAACTATAAAGGCATGCTTTCATGTCCTCACAAGAATGCCACATCCATACAAACAAGTAAGTGGGTTTCTAGCTCAGCTGTGTGAATTTGCCACCCAGGGATATTTTTTTATGTGTGTCTTTGCAGATATATTGTTGCTTATATATGAAAAAAAATGTTTTCCATGGGAAATGGAGCCTCATTTGATGCCTTTCCAAAGGTCTTTCCTCAGAGAGAAGAGTTAACCTGTAGACCTTGGTCTGATATCAAGGAAACGAGGAGCCCAACAGCCATTTGATATAAAAGCACCAGTGTTTTTAGGCCAGGGCTGACTGTCTTGAGAAAAAACACACGGACAGAAAACAAACAGCTTTTAGAACATATAATTGAAAGGCAGGATATCCACCCATTTTCCCTGGAGGATATGAAAAGTTGTTTCATGAGTCTGCACACAAGGCCTATCAAAGTAACTGGGCTTCCAGAGAGCTGGACTCAATTAGTCCAGCAATCTTGCGTTAGCAACTGCATCTAGTTCAACGTGGTAGTTTGCTGTGTGCGGGAAAAGGGGGGACGTTTAGGAGTGCGACCACCCTTTCCAGTCTGCAGCAGTCTTAACAGAATTTTAAAAACTTAAGTATATTGTGTATGTTAGTTATTTAATGGTATGCCACCTCTGGCTATTATCAGATAGAAAGGTGGGAATCAAATATTTTCAAGCTAACAAAGAATGAATGATGTCAGCACAAACACTCCAAAAAGAAGAGTTGTGAATGGTGTGGTTGGAACGGACGCAAACACATGGGAAATCACTTCTGAAACAGGATTACATCGCCATTGTGGACAGTTGGAATATCTGGGCACTAGGTGGATGCTTTTGCCTCTGTTGCATCTAAGCCTCTTGAATCTGTTGTCAAGAGCCAGAAAGTATGAGTGACAGCTGCAGCGGCCTATAGGAGGAAGCCGTGTCCTATAATGGACAACTTAAGTGTGCTTTAAATGAATTGTAAACTACTTTGAGAACTTTGGCTTGTAGGCTGACCATTCATATTTCAAATAAATCCACACAAATAGGCAAGCAAACATAAAGTTGTTGTTTTTTTAACCTCTATTTATTTATGGAAATATTTCTGTACCACTGTATCATGGAAATATATCACAGCGGTTTACAACAATTTGTGCAAATTAAGACGGGGATAGGTTTTGCTATGTTGATTACAAAATCCCAAGGATTTGTTTGTATAGCTAGCTGAAGGGCCTTGTTTAAATCAACTTGTGAGCAGAGGTTGCGGGAGGGCAATAGACCTTGCCACGGATCTTCACACAGTGATGGGCTCTGGGCCTGTGCATGCAAGCCGTATCTGCATATAAGTTCTTTCTGTGTGATTAGGTAGCCTGTGAAAAATGTGATACCAGATCACATATGCTCATCTACCCAAGGAGGTTGCATTTCCATGGTGTCAGAAGTTATGGCTCAACCTTTATTAAGAACACAGTAAGGTTAGAACCTGGCAACTTTCTGGGTTCATTCTGAGACGGACTAGGAACTCTTTCTCTCCATTGTGTGTGCAGTTATAGAAAAATAGCGAAAAATACTCATATTAGCTTCTGACTTGTTGGGGGCATATAACAGTACAAAGAAAGAAAAGGCACCACTTTTGTTACGTAAAGCTTTATCTACTGTAATGCTGAAGAGGCTGCTGGAAAGTTAATAATGACTCACAAATCAATGCCAAATACATAGTACAGGCTTCTCCTTCTTCACAGTTTGTGGATCGGCAGACTGTAATTAAACCTTGCACTTTCTTTTAGCTTCCCACCAGAGCACCTCATCATTTGCTGTGTTTCTTCGACACAATTACCATTTCTGCTGGCCTGCCAATATCACTCTGTCCCTCCGGAGATAGTGTGTCTACAAAGGCATAAGCTTCAGAGAATAAACTGGATCTGGAAACATCTCTAAAACTACTGTTCAATATTACTCTGGAGCCCGGCAGAATACTAATACCAACTCAGTAGTGTAATGAATAATAAAAAGCAAATTGGCATTGTTTCAAACATTTTCCCAATATCTCCAAATCATATTCATGACAGATATAACAAGTATTTCACAAATGAAAAGGCTTTCAAGGGCCTAAACCATGAATCCTAGTTGAAAATTACATGCTGGGGTGTGTGTGGGGGGGGGAGACCTCAGAAATGACTCTCAGCTTTATAGGACAGAATTCATCTGCATATGCTTTTAGAAGGTACAAGTGGTTTACTTCCTCTGAGTGAGATACTTTCATATTTCTGCCTTGTTGCTTGGCAACACTATTTTTAGATATTCAAAAATGTGTACTTTTTGCAAATTAATCTCAGGCACATTGTTGCAGAATGTTTTTCAAATGGCAGCTATTTCATAATATTAAAATACAAATCAAATCAACTGCTCCTTCTTTGGCTTTGATTTACAAGAATGTTTAAAAATCTTGTGCTAAGTCAGATGGAAACATTTCAAGTGCAGTGAATGAGCACGTGCTGCATATTTCACATCATTGGAACTCTCCATTAGCAGTAGGGGAGGTCTCAAATTTAAGGAAATCTTTATTATTATTACGGTGGTACCTCGGGTTAAGTACTTAATTCGTTCTGGAGGTCCGTACTTAACCTGAAACTGTTCTTAACCTGACGCACCACTTTAGCTAATGGGGCCTCCTGCTGCCACCACGCTGCCGGAGCACGATTTCTGTTCTCATCCTGAAGCAAAGTTCTTAACCTGAAGCACTATTTCTGGGTTAGCGGAGTCTGTAACCTGAAGCGTATGCAACCTGAGGTACCACTGTACTTCTTAAATTTGTATACTGCCCTTCATCCAAAGAGCACAGGGTGGTTCACAACATAAAAACACAAAATGGTAACACAGAATACATAATAAACCAAAACCAAAACTGAAACAATACCAACACACACACACCCCCAACACATCTTTATGGTATGTATACTACTTTCACAATAACCTTTTCTCTTGAAACAACTTGTCAGGTTTGTCAGCTCAAAACCAGGAAAGTGAGCAAGTCCCTCTGGTCATACAGTATGACCAGGAAGCATGGGCATAGCTGGGATTTTTGTTTAGGGGGACAGGCCTTTTGTTTTTTGGGGGCAGAACCTCAGTTCGCTATGTATTATTATTGATTTTT